ACACAATACACTGTGTTCTCCTGCCCTCTGCCGGTGAGAAGCAGCACCGCAGGCCCATGGCCTTCAGAGGGGAGGCAGACAAAGACTGGGAGTGACTCCCTTTCCTGACACACACCAGGCAGACCCACCATAAACTTGTTAGGGGGAGGCTGTCCTCAGCAAGTCGGACATGGGAGGCTCCACGCTGCCCGTGAGCCTGGGCCCCGGAGGAGGTGGCTTCACGCTGGGCCCCGAGGGGTGAGATGATGGACAGAGTGGAGACAGCATGTGTGTGTGGCCGCAGGGACAGCATGGCCAAGGCTGGCACCCCGAGGGGACCGGGAGCAGACAAGCTAGGCCGCCTCCAGCCAGCTGGCCAGCCCTCGCTACGAGGCACTAAGATGCCAGCTCATGCCCCGGGGGGAGCGTGGGGATGGGCCTCCTGAGGACGCCTGGGTTTATACAGACCCACCCCTCGGGTCGGCACGTCCCTGCCCCTCTCTCGGCCTCAGTTCCCTCATTTGCACAAAGGAGGAGCTGGAGAGAATGAGGTCTGAGGTTCTCTTTGGTTCCAAGATTGTGTTTATCCACAGGCCTTAATTCAAGGGGCCGCTGCTCATATGCCAGGGCTCATGCTGCCTGGCCATGCGGCTCCCCCTCCCGGGCAGCTCCCCTCACACTGGGAGGGCGCCCCTCCCCACCCGCCTGCTGTCCCCGCTGGTGTGGCCTCCGGTGAGGTGGGGAAGCTGGCTTTTTTGTCATATAAGATGGCAGCCGACTCGCTTCACGTGTTGTTTCTGACCCTTGTCCCCTTGGAATAGGATTCAAAGGGCCAATCAACTCCGCCAATGCAGCCTTCCCAGACCCAGGCCTTTGAAGAATAAATAAGTAAAGGCTGCTTTTTTTTTCCCCCTTGGAAATTTGTAACATCATTAGCTACAAGTAAATATATCAGCGGGATTAATGGAGTGAATCACAGTGACTTGATTGGATTTAAAGCCGCATTATTTCTTTGGGGTGAATCAGTACATTTGGCACTGCCGAGCGATGATGGATGGAGAACGCGGGGACTGGGAGTTCTTATTGATCCTGGGGATAGATCGGCAGTAAGAGGTGGGATTGCTTCCTGCACGCTGTTTTCAGAGAGAGAGGCCACTCGTGTAACGGCTCAGGAATAGAACATCCTCTCTCAGGCTTGAGGTAGAGCGGTGCCACCCAGGCAGGCAGTGACAAGGCAACCCCCAGCGGTCCCCACCCTTGGCATTCGCCTCCTTGTATAGTCATCCCTTCTCTGCGTGTCGCACACGGGATGCAGCAGAGGCAAGGAGAAGTCACTTCTGAGACTGGGTTATAAAAAGACTGTGGCTGGTCCAGCCGGTGTGGCTCAGTGGCTGAGCATCGACGCAGGAACCAAGAGGTCCTGGTTCAATTCCTGGTCAGGGCACATGCCTGGGTTGTGGGCTTGGTCCCCAGTAGGGGGCGTGCAGGAGGCAACCGATCGATGTCTCTCTCTCATACATATTTCTATCGCTCTATCCCTCTCCCATCCTCTCCATCTAAAATCAATAGAAACATATTTTTAAAAGAGAAAAGGAAAAGGTGCAGTCCTCACATAGGTTAATGGACCAGCATTCGATGAGCACTCCCGCATGCCTGGAGTTTCCACATCTAGTTTCTCATTCATTTCTCACAACAGCCCAGCGAGGAGGCTACAATCACCATTGCTATTCATTTACAGATGAGGGGCAAAATCCACCTCAGGGAGCTACTCAGCCTCAGCAGATTCTGGCAGAGCACGGACTTGAGTCCAGGCCCCCTAATCCCGACTCGTGCCCCTTCCTTCCGATCTCAGGCGGCCGCCAGCTGCACCACAGGTGCACACAGTAGGGCTGCCCCCAGCTAGGATGGTCTCAGAACCACAGGCTGACCGCTCCGTTCCCAGGCCCAGGCAGGGGGGAGGCTTGTGACGGCGCTCAGAAACCGAGGGGTGTGTCTTACTTGTATCAATGAACACAGCGTCCACGTAGATTTTGGTACAGAAGGAGCCCAGGATGAACCCGCAGGCGGGTCCAAACACCAGCATTGTGAACAGGATTCCTGGAGAAAGAGCAGGAGACACAGATTAGATTACAAAGCCCAGGGCGTTCCATGAGCAGCACAGTCAAAGGGCAAGGACACGGCTCCAATCAATAGGATGAGGTGTCTGATTACATAAATCACATTGTAGGAATCAGCCTAAAATCCTAGAAGGGGAAAAGCCTGCATTTCTAATTTTCGGAAACCCCATGGAGCACTCTGTATTGTGCAGGTATCCTATAATATTTTTAAAATATATTTTTATTGATTTTGGAGAGGAAGGGAGAGAGAGAGAGAGAGAGAGAGAGAGAGAGAGAGAGAGAGAGAGAGAAACATCAATGACGAGAGAGAATCACTGATCGGCTGCCTCCTGCACGCCCCCTACTGGGGATGGAACCCACAACCCGGGCATGTGCCCTGACTGGGAATTGAACTGTGACCTCCTGGTTCATAGTCGACACTCACCCACTGAGCCACACCGGCTGTGCGAATCCTATAATATTTTGATTGGTCAATCAAAATCAAAATGTTTGTGGGTCCCCCATACACTACTTTCCAAGAATTTCACCCCCATTACATGAAGCATATTAAAATACAGACATGTCTATCACCAAACCATTTTTCTGCCATAAACATTTTTGAAAGAATTTCTATAATTTTGCTTTTTCCTTTATTTGGCACTATGTAATTTGTTTAATTTACGGTTGGCGACGATTTCTCAGCACCCATTGTGCAAACTCAGGAATCCTCGGACGGAAGAAAAATTGAAGCCACAAATTATTTCCAAATGTGGTGAGATGTTTATGGGCATGAAACTTAGCAAGAAACAAATCTGACATAATGGCGTGCTCTGAGAACGTCGGATTAGGTAGGCATTCATTTCGATGTTGCAGATTTTAGAGTTGCTATCTGTTGTTCCAACAGTGGCTCAGGAGTCAGGCTTCCCTGCTGACATAAAAGATGGTGCTAGCCCGGCCTGTGTGGCTCCCTGCCCGGGCCCCAGGCCCAGCTCCGGTCCCTTCCTGGCCACGGACCTGCGGCCACCGTGGCCTCATGGGACAGCCTGATTTGCTGGCCGTGGCCGAGACAACACTGGCAGGGCAGGGACCAGAGGAGCTGAGGGCTGTGTGCGTGACACAGGAATGATCACTTCAGGGGAAGTCTGTGCTTTCCTCCGAGGGGGGATCTGCTGATAAAACCTCGAGGAAACAGACAAGGATCTCTACGTAGCGTCCCACTGGCCAGTGCACGTGGGTGCGTGCTTCAGCCTCGTTATGACTGAAAGTGGTCTAGTTCAGGGGTGGGCAAACTTTTTGACTCGAGGGCCACAATGGGTTCTTAAACTGGACCGGAGGGCCGGAACAAAAGCATGGATGGAGTGTTTGTGTGAACTAATATAAATTCAAAGTAAACATCATTACATAAAAGGGTACAGTCTTTTTTTTTTTTTAGTTTTATTCATTTCAAACAGGCCGGATCCGGCCCGAGGGCCGTAGTTTGCCCACGGCTGGTCTAGTTGGTCCTCTGTTTTGTCTGCGTATGATGGAAGCACTCAGAACGGGGCACAGCCCCCTATTAACCTGCCCTGAGGCAATGTCTTTCTTCAAGTCGTCCCTTCCCAGGTACCTGAGCTCAAACAAAAACACTCATGACCACTGACAAGGTCCATGTCACCATACTCTTGTTATAAATGGAAGAACAGAGCTCAGAGAGGTTAGTCCGTTGCCTCGGGGCCACACAGCTCGTACATGATAGAGGGACCTTTGCACCCAGGCTCCAGGGCCACCGAGGTTCTAGAGAAAGACCAGGAGGCGAACCCTGGGACAACAGTGAAGCCGCTGGGATCAGCCAGACCTCAGCGGAGCGTGGAGATGAGAAGAGCTGCCTTGCTGCACACTGGGGATTAGAGGCGGTGCACACAACTGGTATCACAGAGCCCTTTCTGTGCCTCAGGGACGGTGAGTCCCAGGAGGGCGGCCTGCATGCGGGTCTCCCCGTAGGCAGGAGGCAGGAGTCTGTTTCCTTAGCTGGACTCAGAGTCATTCTAAGTCCCTCCAAGTGGGTGGAGTGCAGAGGGCGCCCAGGTCGGCTGTGGCTCTTCGCCACTAGATGGCAGCATCAGCCTAGAGAAGACAGAGACTGGGCCGTGTCCGCCACTTCCTAGCCGCCCCTGAAACATAATGCCGACTCCCCGGCTGGCATAATACTGTTCTCACTCCCATGTGCCCTCCATTGATACAAGTGTGTTCCTCTGTCTTTGAATATGCAGGCTCAAATGTCCCCCCTGAGAAGGAGCGTTCTGCATCACACATGCATGAATAAAACATGCTCCATAAACAGCAGGAAGCCTGAGAAACATGGGGTACATATGACCCAGCCTGCCTGTGTGGCTCAATGGTTGTATGTTGACCCATGAAACAGAAGGGGCACATGCCCAGGTTGCAGGCTTGGTCCCCAGTAGGAGGCATGCAGGAGGCAGCTAATCAATGGTTCGCTCTCATCACTGATGTTTCTCTCTCTTTCTCTCTCTGATCAATAAAAATAAACTGCTGCTACTTGTTGAAGAAGTTCTGTCTAGTTATCACACGGGCACAGCCTGACTCTTCAAAGGACCCCAGGGCCACGGTGAACTTTCCCAGGGGCCTCAGGGAGACAGCAGGGCCGCCCAGAGGCAGGCCCAGCCCCGCAGGCGGAGCTGTCGGCCACTTCTTGGTATTTCTCATTCTCATTCACCCGAGTGCTCAGGTGGTCACCCCACGGGCCCTAATTTTGTCCTCACTGCCTAGGACCCACCGCCACTTCTGCCTGGCCACACCGATGCCACTACCAACAGCGACGCAAAGTAAGTCTCCTCGAAGTGCCCTTGGAGCCAGGGCCCTCAGACCCGTCTGTAACGTAGTCCTCACAACTGCTCTGGGACGTGGGTCTCTCCCCCTCCAGTTTACAGATGAAGCAACTGAGGCACAGAGAAGTTAGGTTTCTGGCTTATGGCCCCACAACGGGATAGGAGCTCAGGTTCTGTGGGCCCTCAAGCCTGCACTTCCTCCAACCCACCATTTGGCAGGAGGAAGCGGCCGCAGAAAGGCTGTGGGCCATGGAAATCCTTCGAGTAAATTCTGAAGGAACCCGTGTCTGCAGGGCTGAGTTCCCGCGCTGAGCTTTAGCCTGCCTGTCACTTGGAAGCCGAGTGGCCTGAAGGAGACAGAACGGACTCAAGCACATCTACACATACCCATGGGGACTTTGCCCCTTGTTCAGCGTGGGGGGACCTCGGGGCCTTCGTTTACCTGCCCTCAGCTCAACAAGACTGTGGTCCCCCATCAGTGGAAATGGGAGAATGCGCCGGCATTTCCTCTTATCTGCCACCAGGGGGCGCCAGACAACTTCTCATGCCAGGTACTGCTCTTCCCCTGTGGCTGGAGGTTTTCGGTTCCAGGTGGGAGGGTTCCTGGCAGGAAGGCACGGTGGCAAATGATTGGGCAGATCTGTGGGCATTACTGAAGGGCCTCACACTGTGTCTGGCAAGAAAATGACCACTTCCAAATGCCCGCGCCTTCGAAATCATATTCTCCTATCAGACAATACGATAATAATCGTATTATCCCAACCACTCACTGTGCCTTGACATCCCCAACTGGTATGATCCGTGGGTGATTAATCTTCCTAAAATCTCATGCAATCATACCCTCCCCCGCTTGGAACCACCAGGGGCGTCCTTCTTTACAACACAAAGGCCACACGTTGGCCTGGCAGCACCATGGGTAGGGGCAGGCCCGCAATGCCAGGCTGCACAGCCACGGACCAGCCTTGGTGACCAGCCCCTGAGAGCAGAACTGGAAACTACCCCGATCTGGAGCAACACTGTGAGCCTCCTTTTCGGGGCAAATCGCTCCGGTTCTTCATGGAGAAGAGGGAACAGGAGGCAGCTATGCAAAGGCAGAGAGCAAAGTCTGGGCTGTGCGACTCCAGCGGGGTGTACTGAGGGGCTGGATGGCGCTCCTCCCACCAGAAGCCCTGGGCAGGCGGCAACTGGA